ATAAATGTTCCCTAACCAACACACTGGCGCACTGACCCATGTCTACCCTCACTGACGTTCCGGTGCGCAGACATGTAACTTCTCCAGCACTGCGAGCAGCGTGGAAAATGCGGTCCAGGTTGTCCACGCTACTTCCGTCGAACCATGCGCCCATATATTACGCACGGATAACTTGTCCTTCCAGTAAGGGCTAAAAAGAAGACTTAAAGGGGTTAAAAGGGCTTCCAGGCTGAAGGGGGGCTGAGGAGAGGCTTCCTTGACTGTGGAGGCACCTTGGCACAAAGCCGGTTTTCGTGTGAGATTTTCGGGCCCTAAAACGACGCCCTGCAAATGGGCTACGGCGCAGGAAACAGAGACCGTCCCGCGTCCTCGAAAGTTCCCATCAAAAATAAAGCTAGAAAACGCTCTTGAAGCGCTAGGCGGGCCAATGCCCGGATCTACCTGGACAGTAAACTGGCTGAAGCAACAGAAACGTCAATCCAAGTGGCACGCGCGGACAGCGCATTTGCCACGGACTTTTGTCAGTCCCGTCCGAAACAGCTATGGCGCTTCAAAGAGTTGAGAGTCGAAGAGGCACTTAGAGACCGCCCAGGCAAGGGAAGAATTAACGGCGCAAGTACCGCAGATCTTTGCAAGGCGGGTTGTAGTCGCCTGCCACTTTACGCTTTTAAATGCTTGGAATCAACCACACCAGCAACATCATGTATAGTTAAATTCACGCAGTTTCTGCTGCCGCGTCTTAAGTGGATAGGTGATCCTTTTTCTAGGGGAGCGCGATTGTTCGCAGAAGGCGCCAACTAACTTCAGGCACTCTCAACATGTCATACACGGTCTGCGCAGAGCCTCCCAAGCATTTATTCATCCAATTGCCGCGTTACAGAGAAACCCCCAAGAGTATGTCAATCTATGATCTATCCTGACTTTAATTCCAGCAACATTGCGCTGCCGGTTTTTGCCAACTCACCAAGCCTAGAAATCAGGCGGGCAACATACTCTATTGCCACGGCTATTGTTCATCTAGCGCCATCCAGACGAGTTGGACATCACAGATTTGCTGCCTTTTTACCTGGCGCTACAGGCCTCTGGTATTTAGATAACAACCAACCGGCTCAATGGTTTCGCAACTAACACTGCTCTGGTTCATTCCCCATTGCAACAAAAACAAGAGGGTCGCATTGCTTCGTGCTTGACTTGATTGTGAGAATATACTTTTGATATATGTATATATATACATATTTGATGGACCTGCTTTTGTTGTGCAAGAATTTTGATGTTTTTTGCTTTTTGTTTTGCTAGTTGGTCGGTGTGCTTTTCAGAAAACTTTGGAAAGAAGATTGCGCGCTTGATCTCATGTTTGATTATCCGGGACATGCAGTTTTTTGTGGTTGGATTGCGAGCTTGTGAAATTTTTGTCCCGCCCTCGTGGGGTTGGAGTGTGCCCTCGTGCCGACTGCGACTGCTTGTGTAAGGATCTGAGGACGTGCAACTATCCCCGTGTTCGATGCGGTGTGCGCATTCAAGCCTGATTCACTCCAGTCCCATTGTAACAAAAAGAAAACGTGTGCGTTGCTTCGTGCTTGATTTGATTGTGAGAATATATTTTATATATGTATGTATTTGATGGACCTGCTCTTGTTGTGCAGGAATTTTGTGATGCTTTGATTTTTTGAATTTGGCTAGTTGTTCGGTGTGTTTTCCAGAAAATTTTGGAAAGAAGATTGCGCTCTCGCGTGCGAGATGGCTTTTCATTTCCGTGAATTCCGTGATTTCGCATGTGTCTTGGTGATAGATTTCTTGTTTGATGTCATGTTTGATTATCCGTAACATGCAGTTTTGTGTTGGATTGCGAGTAAAATTTTTGTCCCGCCCGCCCTCGTGGGGTTGGGTGTGCCCTCGTGCCGACTGCGACTGCTTGTGTAAGGATCTGAGGACGTGCAACTATCCCCGTGTTCGATGCGGTGTGCGCATCCAAGCCTGATTCACTCCAGTCCCCATTGTAACAAAAAGAAAACGTGTGCGTTGCTTCGTGCTTGATTTGATTGTGAGAATATATTTTATATATGTATGTATATGATGGACCTGCTCTTGTTGTGCAGGAATTTTGTGATGCTTTGACTTTTTGAATTTGGCTAGTTGGTCGGTGTGTTTGCCAGAAGTCTTTGGAAGCCCCGCGTATTGGGGACGCAGATCCGTTCACACGGACACAGTGCTTCATTTTCTTCGTATGCACAAGGCCTCCTCCTGACATGCGTGTGGCCGTGCATCGCAGCAGCAACTTCATGTGTGCTTTGCTTAGATGTAATGTGCAGTTCCCGCAGCAGCGGCAGGCAACGTAGTTAGGTGTAGTTTCTTGAACATTTTTCTTTTATTAGAGGGGTGGAGTGTCTTCGCTGATCCTTATGGGAAATGGGGGAGACCCAATTTCCCATGGCACGGCTTTCAGCAATTGCATTTCACACTATGCTAAAAAGGACGTCGTGCTTTTGACCTGTGCAATTTTTGTTTGGTTTCTTTTGCATTAAACTTGCGAAAGATTCTTGACGATTATTCGTGATTGACAGTACTGATTGATAAGTGGCAAATGCATTGGATTGTATGTGGCTGTGGACATTGTGTAGAACTGCTTGGTTTATAACTTCACGTGGGGGTGTCAATCTCCAGTAACCCAATCCTTTATGAGTTACAATATGTGTGTTCTCATTGCCTTGAGGTTAATAGCTATGTGATTTTTGGTTCACGGTAACCCGGCAGATTTCATGGCGTCATTGATCCATACGGACCTGCGCAAGAGATTTCAGACCGCCAAGTTGGTGTTAATTATTGATTGCACAGTTGCAAGTTTACGCGGTCAAATAAAAATCCAATGCGCAGCTGTTGTGCTTGGCTGAAATCCACATTTTGCCATACCGCGGTGCAATCTTCAGGCATGTTAAGTGAACAAACATGTCAATTTTCTTGATTGGGCCTTTTGTTAGAATACGTAATGGTTGAAATGAATACAGCACATATGGCGGCATTTTGAAGGCACGAATGCCACATCCGCTGTTCTTAATTTTCCAAATTATCCAGGTTTTGCATGTGGTTTAGGCGTGCACTTGAGCGGATTTTTTTCGCTATGACGTGTTGTGCAGTCCTTAGTGAGGACATGCACATCACATCGGTTCGTGCAGAAGCTTAGCTCCGCCTTCAGGAACTGATATCAAGATTTGTTTGTTCGGGGAAAATGTCACTATGTTTAAGGATTAGATTTTGTCCGTGTGGTGGGACGGTTTCGATGCACACCCGCCCGATTTGAGCGTATCAGCTCATGTTGCTTCATTGTTGGACTGTTGGAGCATTCGCGGCAGTAGGCAGTACATGGCACCAACGTGATCTTGAGCAAGCGTCATCAAGAATGTTCGTGGCCACAGTTGGCTCTAGCATGGTGGCACACACAACAACCTCAGCCCTGGCAGGATCCGTCGCAACAAGCATGCGGGTTACGACATGCAGCATCAACGACAGCAAACAAAGCAATGGAGACCTTGTGAAAATTGAGTGGAATTGAAGTCCAAGCTTCTTTATGTCAAAAGCATTCATGTGTTGTAAGCGCAGTCATAAACTGCATCCCAAGCACGGGTTGCTTGGAACCACTGGTCGATCTTGCCTGAGTGCTGTCAGTGCAGCTAGAGGATGTAACTGCACTTTGTGCTGGTGATCACCAAGGGCGTGCTCGCCGTTCTTGAATGGCCGCGGCTGGTAGCCGTAAAAAATTTGCAAACAGGCAACTTTGTTTCTGTTTTGTCTGCTGTAAAATTGGGACATGATGTCACTGCCAGCAACCTCAACACCCTCCTGGGAGTTCCCAAGGAAGCTGCCAAGGTGGGTGCATGAACGTTGGGATTAAAAGTGAACAATCTTTGGTCAACGTGGAAGGCAAATTACGGCCCTGCGGTGCGCTGTGCTTTCCATTAAATAACGTCGTTCTGTTGCTGGCATTAGTCCTGAAGGTACGTTCCGGGGGCGTTGTCAAGCCAGTTGCCAAGCCCAAAGGACTGTAGCCAGACTTTGTATGTCAAAATGCTTGCTCACATGTTTGGCAGGATTGGTTTCGCTTGGAAAGGCACCAGCAACTTCATCAGTCAACGCGCGCAAGGCTAGGCCTCTGGTCCCATTTTTGCAAGCGGTGCAAACACAAAGAATTGCAGGGCGCTGCGTGGAATCAGCTGGAAGAAGAAGCCAAAAAGCGAGCTGAGGTGCGTTGTGAGTATGAAGAGGATTGATGAAACAGCATCTGCACCAGGAAGAGAGTGCAAAGAAGAAGGATGATACCAGACCAAATTGGTGCGCTGCGTTTGCATGTTGATATTATCTCACAGCAACCTTCCATGGGAAGTCGTATCGGTGCAGGGCTGTCCTTGATTTCCAAGACTTGGACAAGCCCTTGGCGAAGGAGGACGAGGATGATGAGGCTGGAAAACGTTGCTTGGTACATGTGCCATTTAGATTTCGATGAAACCTGCAAGGACAGAACCGAGCTTGATGACATCCATGATGTTAGGGTTCCAGCCTCAGAGCACCGAATCGCATTTCGTGGCCTTCTCGTTGTCGTCGCTGTAAGGAGGATGGATGGTTCTCAGCTGCAGCACCAGATGAACCGCCTGTAGGCTGAGCTTGTCAGATGCACATGCCATGGTGGAAAAATCCTTGCTGGAACCAACAGTCCGAAGAGACTTTGCAAACATAACTTCATGGATTGCGGGGCTTCACCAGATTTTTTCAGTTTTGTTTGGTCTGCGTTTTGTAGGCTTGGTTCGATGTGGCTTTTGCAGACAGCTGTTTCAATAGTGTGGGCCCATCCTCGCATAGGCATAGGCCTTTGTCAAGAACTTGCTTTAATGCAGCATGAATGCCAGCCATGTTAATGTTCATCCAAGTCCTCAAGCATCGCAACTAGCAGGCCTGGCCTTGCAAGCTGCTTGGACAGGCGATCACCTAGTGGATCTGACACCTGAAGATGGTGGCTCAGGGCTGGGAGGCAGATTGCGTTGCTAGATGCAAGGACAATCGGGATTGCAAAAGCAACCACAGGATTCAGACACTTGGACAGCACAGTGGAAGGCTGGATGTTACATCTACATACATTCGGGACACCTTGAGATGTATTTTGTGCACTGACGTGCCAGGTCATGCAATCTTCGAAGGAGACGAGGAGCTGAATTATGCGGCTTGGGAAATTGTGAAGCAAGAATCATCTTCCTGGGTTGAAGGAGCATGTTCTGGAAAGTGTGGCTCTGGAAGCTAAAGATGGTAGGCGGAGAGCAGTATTGCTGTGCTCCAGCTTGCTTTGCAAAGCTCTCGCTGCAGTTCATGGGCGGATCACACAGAGCCTTCTGAGGAGGCCCAGAGATAGCTCCTTGATTTTCCAGGGAAGCAAGTCTCGACAAGCTTCCTTGCCTTTCCAGCTCTGACTGTTCAAGACTCGAAGGAAATTCCTACGAACGAGCTTGCAGTGACGCCCTCTGAGGCTGGCACGATCTGGCACGTTTGAATCATGACTTGTGAACCTTCTCAGGACAGCATGTCGGGGATACAGCAAGCAGGTTTTTAGGTGCAGCATGCGAATCTAGAATTTTTTCCAGGGGATTAGCAGGCGTGACGTAGAAACGAATCCGCTGCGATTGCATCCTCAACAACGTAAGCGAAATGCTGAAGTCACATGAACTGGCCGTTATTCACGCAGCCGGTCGTCACGCAACCGTGCGATCTGTGCGATTCACACAACAAGTTGGCCTCCGCAACTGCTTTTGCTGAATTTTGATTCAGATCACGAGAAGTCAGCAGGTTCAGGAAAATGAGGTAAGTGAGCTGGGCCGAACACGATTAGCAGGAGGGTCCTCGACAAATTCCGACTTGTACCTGGAAGACCAGCCACAGACCTCAAAATGCTTACAGCTGTGGTTTGCGCAAGCAGCTGTCCGCTACAGAGCTTGAGGCTTCTAAAATTTTCTGTAACCGAGATTCCCCAGGTTTGTGCAGGTTTGGCTGAGCTGAAGGATAGCCAGCTCTGGAGCTTCTCTGCATCACAAGCAGTTCCGCAAGTGACGGATACATGGAGAAGGTCACCTAGCCCTGCATCACATTTGCACGTAGGTTTCTGGTTATGGTACGAGGTTTTTCATGGCTCGGTTCAAGATCTACAGCTTGGGCAATTGGACGTTATTAGGGTTTCGCATCGAGGAAGCACCGGCGAGAAACTTGCACCGCCAGGTGTAAGGCTTCTGAATGGTAGTTCGGATGCTCAAGTTTTTAGCGGTATGCGTTTTTTGGGGTTGTCATCACTCCATGCAATTGTCGGTCATCCATGACGTGGCTTGAGACGCTGCAAGATATGCGTAGCGCAACTTGTCGCAGGGTGCTTGGAATGAGCTGGAGGAGGAAACAGAAGCGCAAGCTGAGGTGGGAGTATGGTGCTGTGTGCAGGCATTGCTGCCGAAATGCAGGAAACCAGTGCAAAAAAAGCAGAAGACACCAGACCAGACTGGCGTACTGCTTTCATTCACATGGTGAGCATGTGGCTCAGCATCTAGGCATTGCTTGTTTCATATTGAGATGTTCATGACCTCCAAGACTTGGACAAGCCCCTCGCAAAAGAGGATAGGGATGATGAGGCAGGAAGACGTTGCTTGTTACACTCAGCCCTTCTGTAGATTTCGACGTAACCTGCAAGGACAGAACCGAGCTTGATGACATCCATGATGTCAAGGTTCCAGCCTCAGAGCACGCAATCCTGTCTCGTGGCACCTTTCTTCTAAGGAGGATTGGGCCGATCACACTGAGCCTTCTGAGGAGGCTGGGTGCTCACCAACTGTGACCGTAGAATGTTGGCGGATGCTGGAGTCAGTTTCGCTCTATCTTTTTTGCAGAGCAGGAAGCTCCGACGAATGAGCTTGGAGTTGTGCTCTCAGAGATGGTGGCTTGCATGGGCCTGCATGTTCTACATGATGTCCGCGCAGCCACATACTCCTGGCCATGAGATCAGAGCCCACGTATAGTCTGAATTCTAATACGCCCGCAAGGCATCCTGTCCAAGGCAGAACCAGAAGCAACACAAACCTCAAATTGTGGTACATGTAAGGATATCGTTTGCAAGGCGTACAGTCGTCGCATGTCGTCGCATCCGCAACTGATTCTGTGAGGTGCTCGACCTGATGGTTCCAAGGACTGCTCTGGTCTGCGGCCCGAAAGCTGGCTCCGCCTTCTGTTCTCGACTTTTCCGCTGCTTTTTGTTGGCAGGTTATCAATGTCTCCCATGTCCTGAAGCGCCTTAACGGCTGCTGCAGCCTGAACCAGCTGACCAAGGCTTTAAAGTCTTTCAAGGCCCAGAACTGCTCATATTCTACGAAACTGGACAGTTTCTTATCGGGTCAAGCCAGGAGAAGGCCGGCGTGCCCTTGGAGGCTTTCCTGCGATCGAATCCGAGAACTTTCAAGCTCGAGGCTGGGGCTCGGCACAAGATTGAGCAGGCAATAGTCGAGTGAGTCGAGTCCTTGTATCCAGGGCCGAATTGTGTACCTCGTTGACCGTGACGGGAAAAATTGGCAGCCCCCAAAGAAGGCTTTGGAAAAAGTTTGTCAAAAGATTTGACAAGATTGCACGCGCATGGATTTTGTGCAAGGACGCATCTGCTGTTGGTCTCAGTCTTGGCGTTCCAGAGAGGTTCCGTACCTTTGAGAGTCCTGAACTGAAGAACTCAAGGTGGCACTGATGCTGGCCAGCTCCCAACAATGGCTCGGCAAGGACAGTAGCGGCAGAGACTTGCAGACAGCCCTAGGCAACCTCGAGAGGGGCAAAGGTCAGGCCAAGGGCAAAGAGGCGGAGAATTTTTTGAAATTCGGTGGCGGTGGTTTTGCCTGCATAGCTTCTGATCGTTGTGTGATGTTTGGAGTGCAGGAGGACTGCTCACATGAATTTGTACAAGCGAAGCGCAAAGCACGCAAAGCAAACTGCTACACTGTGCCGGATGTGATGGAAAGTTGCACGATGACGCCAGGCCAAGGGACGTTCTGCAGGCCGGTGAAGTGCAAACAATTCATTTTCATTCAGTTTTCATTCCTGTCCAACTACAGTTTCACAGGTGAAGGTCGTCGTGGCAAAGCCAATATGAAAGGCCCTTCGTTTGACCCGCCCCCCCCCCCCCCCCCCCCCCCTCCCGCCCCCCCCCTCCTGGCTTTCTGCCGACTGAAATTCGCAGGAGACCTTCCACTCGCAAAGGGTGACGGAGGACAAGGCTTTCGTATGAAAAGGTACCTTTTGCATGGCTTTTGCAATTTTCCGGAGGAGCCGGGAAAGGCAAAGGAGGCAAAGGCCCTCCACTTGAATCTTTGATGCTTAAGAGTTGGCGCAGCTGTTCTGACTTCTCAGGCCGTGCTCACAACGATGAGTGGTCTTCCTGGACTTCTAACGGCCGGCGATTTTTTTTTTGACTGCTCTGGCTTACAGCTTCCTTGCCTTGGCAGGCAACTGGGCCCCGGCCTGGAACGAGTGGCAAGCAGAACCGGATTGGAAGTCGCTGCACAGGAAGGCGAGATGGTTGAAGGTTATGTCAAGTTATGTCAGCTGCTGCAGCTATTCTGGGATGCTGCAGCCTGCGCTTTGTTGGATTTGGCGGTCGTTGATACAGGAATGCTGATTCCGCAACTCACCTGCATGCCTACATACAGTCAGTTAATGTCAATTCCCAAGCACAGGGGCAACGACCTCAGCCAAACAGTTGAAGTGTCCCGCTTCACTTATTTTGTGGATTCTTTAAATAATTCATGGGCTCACTTGGGTCGCTGATAGCAAAAGCCTGCTCGCAGAGCTGCAGTGTGTGAGGCCAGTCGATGGAAGGCATCTTAGCAAGTCGTCAGCTGAGTGACGCTGCGAGTGTCCATTGGAGTGAAAAGCAGCGGCGCCTTTTAGACGTGACGTCGCTTCCAAGGATTTTTTGTTTAGCAGTGAGGATGCCGTTAATTTTGTTTCCTGTCCATACTGAACTGCACGCAGCAAATCAGAGCTGCGTGCCACCATTGCATGTGTGTGTCTTTCGGTCCTCTGAGAGACCTTTGTGTGAAAAGTTTGCAATGACTACTGTCGTCACCGCCTGTGCTAAGACCTGCAGACTAAGAGCTGACCGCCTTACTTGTCTTGAAGCTTTCTAGACACCGGCAGCTCGACTTTCTTGCATAGGTGCCTCGGTGACACACAGACTAGTCAAAGCCGCGTCTGAGTGTATTTGATGTGGCTTGAAAACAGCGTGGATGTGCTGATGTGGAGGTTTGACGAGCCGCAGGAGACGTGCTATGACATGCCTTTCAGAAGCCGACTCTCCGCAGACGTTTGTGACCGGATCCCTTCTGGGAAGCTGCGCTGCGCAGATGTTTGGCTTCCCACCCTCCGTTGGCAGGCCGATGCCTTGGGCAATTTCGCCGTACATGTAAATTTCGAAGACTCGGACTTGAAGTAGGGGCATTGCGTCCAGGCCTGAATCATGCAGGGCACCTGCGCGCTGTGCGGTCGCCAGGCGCAGACAACTGTAAATCAGGACAATATGTAGAAGCAAAGTGTGAAGCAGGCTGAGTCACGGTGCTCAAAATGCCACGCCCGAGACTCCCAGTGCAGAAAGAGCAGTGAAGCAGCGCTGCTTCCATTTCCCTTCAAGGCTGTCGGTGCAGCTTTGGCTAATGACAGCTGCTTTGGCTCAATGTAGCTTTCCCATCTCCCGATGCTGCGATGGCACTCGCAAGAAATGGACTCCAAAAACAGGGCTGTGCTGCTTCTTGCCGTCTATGGGCCTTTCCGGCTGAGGATTCTGTGGAGGTTTCTCATGTGCACGCTAGACGACTGGCTTTAACCATGGAAATCAGTGGCAGATGCGGCATCGTGGTGATGCTCGCCGCCTACGGCATTCTGCAGGAGCGAAGCTTTAGAGCTTGTCTGTGCCTTGAGGATCCTCGAAGTGTCTTGGTCTGCATGCAAGGAGCGGATTATGACACTGCACTATAATGGTGAAATGCCTCGCTCACAGACATCGGGCACTCATCGGGCTATTGCCTTGGCATTGCTTGTAGGACAGCTGACAGTGTGTTTTGAGGTTTCGACACTCTGTGTTCCTCGTTCTGTGCAACCGATTGGTGGCTGTGGTTTTTGCCAGCTTGATAGCACGAATGCACAAGGATCGTGTGGAGACTGAAGCATGATACTACAATTCGAGATGAAGCCTGCAGGAAAGCCTGGGCAACAAGGCTCCTCTACATTGTTATTTGAAGCTTCGACTTGCATCCAGGTCACTCTAACCGTGAAATACCGTAAAGCCAGCGTAAGGAGGCAACATGGCATCTGTACTTCCGGCAAGGATTGTCTCGCTGAGCAATGTGATTGCGAGTACATGCCAATATGAAGCCCTCAAGCATGTGTCCTTCGTTGTGCAGCTGCATGGTGGCATCAAGTATATTTCCCATGTTCTGTCATCCCTTTCTGCAGCTTACCATTCAGTTCATCACAGGATGCTTGGGAAGTCCTTCAAGATGATGCCTGTTATGCTATGGGGAATGGCAATGAGTGGAAAGCGGCTACTCGAAGTCCTTTAACTTTTTGAGCTGCAACTTGATCAATGACTTACGCCTGTTGCTTGCTGCAGGTACAGCTTGAGTGATTGGATGATTGCAGCAGCAGTCACAACTGGAATCACGGTGTTCTTGGTCTGTGGACCAACGCATGATCCTCGTCGCAACCGACTGGATTTTGAAGGCATTTAGGAAAAGATGCAAAGGTGAGAAGATACCAAGGCTCCCTCCGGCTCCAGCACAGCCAGCACAGCTACCGGCCTGCTTCTGCTCTGTGGCTTCTTGGCTTTCGACGGACTAACCTCCGTAATGGAGGAGAAGCTTTTCAAGGAACCATGTCTGCAGAGCAGGCCCTCCACAAGCAAATCCTTTAAGCGTCTTTCGGCATCTTTTGGCATCTTTACACTTGATTCTAGACTGGATGCATCGCAAGGACTATGAAACGTCCAAGTGGAATCAGATCTTGTATGTGAACTTGCTGTCCTCCACGACTTCTGCAGCAGCATTGGCATGGACCTTAGCCCGGAAAATGCCCACAGACAGAATCTAGAGACTGTCAAGGTTGGATCTGGAGAAATGATGCCGGCCCTGACCTTTGCACATGCGCATCCCGTGCCTTGGCTCTGTTGAGCGTATGACTTCAGACATGAGATCTCAAGCCATGTCAAGCCAGCCATGTGTGGTTGCATTCTGAGGCTTTCGTAGCAGACGCGTCGTTTCTTAGCCTGTCAGCTGTCTCGGCGCAGTATTTCATCTATTCCCAGATTCGCGAGTTTGGAGCTGTGATCCTTGCCTTGACGATGAACATTCGCCAGGCAAGGCGCTCACGGGTGGCTGCATAATTTGCAAAGATGTGTTCGTATGTGCTCTTGGAGTGCCAGCCCTGCTTTGCTAGGTTGTCTCTGTAGCATTGTGGCGAGCTCAGCCCGGGTGCGGCATCCATTATCATATTCTCTGTAGAAGCCGTTCTGAAGATGAGTTTAAAGTGGTTAGGTGACAGTGTGACATGCGAGGTTTTCGAACATGCTTTCACATGCAAAGCTGCTATCCTCTGTTTTCCCCTACCTCTACGGTCAGTTCATCTTCCCCATGTGTTTCGAGTCTGCGCATGTTCTCAGTCGGGAAACAAAACATGCTGAAGAGTTCATGTCCGCTGAGTTTTTGGAATTTTCAGTGTTTTCACGAATGGCATGTGCTTCACGCCTTTCACGCTGAATGTTGAGTCAGAAATGCATTTATGCTTAGTTGCCGAAATCTAGTAGATGGTGCGGGTGCGCGCGAGCGTGCGGGAGCAGATGCTGGTGGTGCCAGTGCTGGTTCTCGGTTTGGGTTCTCGGCTCGGAATGGCCTTATTCACTTTTGAAACCCATGGAATGCTCCAATCCGCCTTGCTACATGATTCTTAGGGCTATCCCTACTCCTCTTAACATGATGATCGTACACGGTCAAACACTGATATGGTGAAAAATCATTGTCAGCAGACAGCTTGTGCTAGTTTGATACTCTCACAGTGGCTGGGTCTGAAATAGTCACTTTTTAGGGTCAGAACATGGGTATTGTGCTGACCCTTTTAGACCTTTCCAAGCCTATCTTTCGGACCCCTTACGGTCATGTGAATCAGCATTAGACTTCATGGTCTTTTGTAAAATCCTGGCAGGTTGTTGATGCCCTACAAAGGGTCTGAAATGGTTCCCCAGATAATGGCTGACCCTTAGGCGAGACCCACTTTACATTTTTTTGTGGGTCTGAAATGCTGTCCCCAACCTCCGCCCACTACCAACTGATGGTATGTAGTTTGTGCAAGCTTACTTACAGACAAGAGTTCGCCTATGCCATGCGAGCTTCCGGGAAGCAGCAGTTTTGCAGCCTGTATAGGCGCAGGTGACATGTAGTGGAGTTTTGTTGGTGCATGCAACGAAATGTACAGCATTACCTTGAAGGCTCAATGAGTGCCTCTGACACAATCGTACTATCTGAGCAGTTCAAAGCGCTGCAGGGCAGTGCTTCTTTTCATAGCGCGAATTGTTGTGACAACATTTTTGCTTGTCACGTTTGGGGGCATTTCGTTTCTCTCTTGTGCTTTTTTTTGTCATGGCACTTTGAAGGTCGTACGAAGCCTACGATCACCCAGTGACATTAAGTCAGCTGGCTGGGATTGTCCTCATCTTCGCTTCGCTCTTTTACAAAGGTGACTCGGGGAAATCTGGCTTGAAGCTTGACTTACCGAGCCGTCTGAGAGTGGATGTGCTGGGTTGCCACTAAGGTTTCTTGGGCTTGTCCAAAGCGACAGAGGAGTCACCACAAACCCAGCTCCATGTTCTTCGCTTCCCTTTCAAGATGTGGGGCCCCAATCTAAGCAGGAGGCCAAGCCACTTTTGCGTGACTTGGATGTGGAGGCAGGGACAGTAATTTCAAGTAGCTGGTGCCGCACAGCGCAAAGGCATCAGTTGATATCAGTTGCTGCAAGCATGGTCAGCTGCTTCTATGATGGACATGTGAACTCACGTTTTCGTGTTCTGAACATTTTGCTGAGAACCAGAACACGAAAATGCGACTAGAGTTGGCTGTTTCCATGATGGACAAGTGAATTCACGTTCTGTGTTTGTTAGCTGACTTGTGCGACTTTTTAATCCGGCGGTCGCTGAAGCCGTCTGATCGCTCAATTTGCAAATTCTTGTGCTCTCTGTTTTGAGCCACGGTGGCCTCTACAATTTCCACCATCAAGCCGTCTGGCGGCAGCGCGCGACGTTGCATGCTCGAGGACGCAGGCCCAGCTCTCCAAGAGGGAGTTTTTGTGCATCCGTCGGGCGCTGGCGAAAAAACATGCGAAAACCATCACGCCACCGTCATTTGATGATGGCTGCGATGGGCCTGGTGGCGATGAAATCTTCTTGGTGGGCGGCCTTGCGCCAGAGGCAAATTCCAGCAACGTGGTGCAGGGTGATGGGCGCCAACACCGTGGCGACCCCAGCTGAGGCTTCGCCTACGGCGGCCTTTACACGGTAGTGGAGTCCATCCCAGACGAGTTTGCTTGGCTCGCACAGGCGGCACCACTGCCTTGGATAGCTAACTCGTCGGTAGTCCGGCTGGTTTGACTTCACCGCCTACTACAAAATCTACAACCGCTGCCGATGGTGAAAGACCTATTGGCACTGACAGCCACTTCCCATCGCGGGCGATAGGATCAAGTACGATAGCTTTGACCCATTTGTTCACGGCGAGGTTGTGATCCTCATCACAAGCATCTTATCCCAGGGATTCCCAGGGCTTGGTATGCGATTGCGCTGCCTTGATAAACTTTTCGTGAAGGCTATCCAAGCAGGGAGCCTTGGCACTCGGCTCCTGCGCTGATCCTGTGAAGCTTGAATGACTTGTTTCTCGTCCAGCATGGTAAGATGCATGGGGCCTTTAGCACGTAAAAAATTGGCACCTGGCTGATGACTCAAGAGACCTGGTTCCCAAGGTTGCGTGTGTCTTGCCGAACATGAAAGCAACGGAGCCCAAAACCGCCGACCAAGTGGTCAGCCAGCCTCATGACAGTGGTTGGAAATGCAGCTCCAGTACCCCCTTCTCGCCGAAGCAGTTGCGCGAGCCCGGTCCCCAGCCCCAGACCTTTGCCGTGATGGTTAAAGTACCCCTGTTCACGCACCAAGCGGACGCAAAGCCGCGCCGAAGTGCCCAAGAGGGAATCAGGGTGGAGCTTCTGGGAGGTGCTGTTTCGGGCGATGGACTCGCCCGTCAGCGACTGACACTCTGTCAGCATTCGCGATGCCCCGCTGCGAGCCAACGCCGCAGTGCTCCCTCCGTTTACCGATCCTGCTCTGAAAGCAACACGGTCTCCACGCCGCACATGGGCGGAGCTCAACGCCCTGTCGGGCGATCTGGACCTCCATGTCCCTTGAGGACCAGGACCAGCCCCCCCAGCATGTGTGTATGTGTGTGTAAGACACGTTTGGCAAGAGAAAAGAAGACGTCGTGTTACATATCGTTACATGGTCGGAATGTCATTCAAGGACCAAACTTGTGTGTTTTTTCTTTTTCTTTGCAAATTTGGATTGCTGTGCGCTCCCTACATGAATTGAGCTTCGGGGGCGGCGTCCTGCCTACGCACAGGCCCACTAACTTCTGAATTTCAGTCCTGTAACATCAACCCAGACTGCAAAACCCATTTTTCCTACAACAGGGGAAACTTGCAAAACATTATTTTGGTAAAGCATGATAAAGGCTTCAGCTGGCAACAAGTCTCTGCAAGTCCGCCAATGCTCCCGATCTTCAAGAACCTCGTCACAGAGACGCTGTCCACAGGGGGCGCAGCTGCGTTGTGCGTGAGGGCGGTTTTTCGACCGGTGTGACGGGGCACAAGTTACGCCGCGTCCGCGCCCATGCGAGTTGCGCCCATGACACACAGGGCGCTACGCCAGCCTGAAGGAGCCGGGGGGGAATTCGCCTGCGCGTGTATGTGCGTCTCGTGTCTTGGAGCGTTGGGGAGGCGTCGTCAATGTGCTCACGGGTGATGGCGCCCAGGTTCTCAACAGTGACCGAGCCCATCCTTGAGGAGGAAGCAAGAAGACAAGTTCCCGGGAGATCTGGAACTGAGGCAAATTTTCCTGCGGTTGGATCCAATTGAGTCTGCATAGCCTGCTCTACCATGTAGGGGGTGGCGAGCTGTCTTAAATGCTTTGAGAGAATTGGGGTCATTGCGCAGACGTTGTGCTACGTCTGCTGCTCCGAAAACCTTGCAGCAAAACCAGTCTGAACCTGTCAGCGCCATCCGAGCCACCGCGATCCTGGCAGCCAGGAGAACTGCAAACGCTTTGCTGTAGGAAGTTGGCGCAGAAAGTCGTCCTCCTCGCCTGGTTGTGGACGTCTCTGTTTCCGGCGCCACGGCCCACAGGCAGCTGCCACTTGCCGTTGGAACCACGGCGCCGGTGTGGCATATGTAAGCCCATGCACCTCCAACTTTTGCCCCGACTGCTGGCAGCACTGGGCGCACAGTGTAGCTGAGTGCCCCCGGCGCCGGCGTGTACCACTGCGGAAAAGTGTCAGGCTGGGGCTGGGCAGAGTGCCGCACTGGCCCGTCAGCTCCCTCATCCGCCAGCACAGGAACCCCAGCTGCCGCAGCTGGAGGCCGAACTGGGCCGTAGAGTAGAGCCCCTTCCGCTGACCTGCCGACGCGCAGCGTCTGCTCATCCGGGCGGCCCGAGCCTTTTAGACCATGACAGCCTCTTGCCCCTTGCCAATTTAAAAGTGGGGGTTGCTGCTCGGGTGCTCTGGAAAGGGCCCCAACGTCCTAATGCCACTTCTGGCCCAAATAGACCTTGGCCACTGATACTGCCCCCAAACCCCGTTGGAACCTTTCGTGGAAAAGGCTTACGACGCTAGCGGAGAGTCCCTGAGATGCTGGGGTGAAGGGTGGGAAGCCACGAGCACCCCCCGCAGGTCGATCGTTGCATCTAAGCTTTTCAGCCTTCACAGCACTCTCTGTTGCCTTAGCCGGCCTTGGCTTTTTACCCTGATTCAAGTGTATCCGCCTGGATTTGATATCTCGTTTCTTTCCAATGCGCTGTCCTGAGTGGCATTTTGGGCTGCATCCTGTCCCTGTGGGTCAATGCGTTGCACGGGTTGGGTTTGATTTTGGCCTTGTGATGCAGCCTTAGTTTTCCTGTCAGTAACCGCCTCTGCATTCTTTGTCTGTGACCTTGCTTGTGGTAAATGTGCCATTGGCAAAATTCTGCCGCTTTACCTATATGACGAGTAGGAAACAAAGGAGATCCGTCGCTGCACTGTTCTTTTCTTTAACCCTGTCTGAAACCCAGGCGTAACGGACCAGTCTGCCTGGCAG